TAAATGATAAACAATGCTAATGTAGATATGAAATCTATATTTTTTTGAAAATAGCCTGCTATGATCGAAACCAAAAATTCTTTTAATTGCATTTTAAAACATTTCTAGGTATTATAAATAATAAAGAATGCTAATGTAGATATAAAATCGATATTTTTTTGAAAATAGCCTGCTATGATCGAAAACAAAAATGCTTTCAATTACACTTTAAAACATATCTAGGTATTATAAATGATAAACAATGCTAATGTAGATATGAAATCTATATTTTTTTGAAAATAGCCTGCTATGATCGAAACCAAAAATGCTTTTAATTGCATTTTAAAACATTTCTAGGTATTATAAATAATAAAGAATGCTAATGTAGATATAAAATCGATATTTTTTTGAAAATAGCCTGCTATGATCGAAAACAAAAATGCTTTTAATTACACTTTAAAACATATCTAGGTATTATAAATGATAAACAATGCTAATGTAGATATGAAATCGATATTTTTTTGAAAATAACCTGCTATGATCGAAACCAAAAATGCTTTTAATTGCATTTTAAAACATTTCTAGGTATTATAAATAATAAAGAATGCTAATGTAGATATAAAATCGATATTTTTTTGAAAATAGCCCGCTATGATCGAAAACAAAAAATTCTTTAAATTGCGTTTTAAAACACATCTTGGTATTATAAATGATAAACAATGCTAATGTAGATATAAAATCGATATTTTTTTTGAAAATAGCCTGCTATGATCGAAACCAAAAATGCTTTAAATTGCATTTTAAAATAAATCTAGGTATAATAAATTATTAAGAATGCTAATATAGATACAAAATCGATATTTTTTTGAAAATAGCCTGCTATGATCGAAAACAAAAATGCTTTAAATTGCATTTTAAAATAAATCTAGGTATAATAATTTATAAAGAATGCTAATATAGATACAAAATCGATATTTTTTTGAAAATAGCCTGCTATGATCGAAAACAAAAATGCTTTTAATTACTTTTTAAAACATATCTAGGTATTATAAATGATAAACAATGCTAATGTAGATATAAAATCGATATTTTTTTTGAAAATAGCCTGCTATGATCGAAACCAAAAATGCTTTAAATTGCATTTTAAAATAAATCTAGGTATAATAAATGATAAAGAATGCTAATGTAGATATGAAATCGATATTTTTTTGAAAATAGCCTACTATGATCGAAAACAAAAATGCTTTAAATTGCATTTTAAAATAAATCTAGGTATAATAAATGATAAAGAATGCTAATGTAGATATGAAATCGATATTTTTTTGAAAATAGCCTACTATGATCGAAAACAAAAATGCTTTAAATTGCATTTTAAAATAAATCTAGGTATAATAAATGATAAAGAATGCTAATATAGATATAAAATCGATATTTTTTTGAAAATAGCCTGCTATGATCGAAACCAAAAATGCTTTTAATTGCATTTTAAAACATATCTAGGTATTATAAATGATAAAGAATGCTAATGTAAATATAAAATCGATATTTTTTTGAAAATAGCCTGCTATGATCGAAACCAAAAATGCTTTTAATTGCATTTTAAAACATTTCTAGGTATTATAAATAATAAAGAATGCTAATGTAGATATAAAATCAATATTTTTTTGAAAATAGCCTGCTATGATCGAAACCAAAAATGCTTTTAATTGCATTTTAAAACATTTCTAGGTATTATAAATAATAAAGAATGCTAATGTAGATATAAAATCGATATTTTTTTGAAAATAGCCTGCTATGATCGAAACCAAAAATTCTTTAAATTGCGTTTTAAAACATATCTAGGTATTATAAATGATAAAGAATGCTAATGTAAATATAAAATCGATATTTTTTTGAAAATAGCCTGCTATGATCGAAACCAAAAATGCTTTTAATTGCATTTTAAAACATTTCTAGGTATTATAAATAATAAAGAATGCTAATGTAGATATAAAATCAATATTTTTTTGAAAATAGCCTGCTATGATCGAAACCAAAAATGCTTTTAATTGCATTTTAAAACATTTCTAGGTATTATAAATAATAAAGAATGCTAATGTAGATATAAAATCAATATTTTTTTGAAAATAGCCTGCTATGATCGAAACCAAAAATGCTTTTAATTGCATTTTAAAACATTTCTAGGTATTATAAATAATAAAGAATGCTAATGTAGATATAAAATCGATATTTTTTTGAAAATAGCCTGCTATGATCGAAACCAAAAATGCTTTTAATTGCATTTTAAAACATATCTAGGTATTATAAATGATAAAGAATGCTAATGTAAATATAAAATCGATATTTTTTTGAAAATAGCCTGCTATGATCGAAACCAAAAATGCTTTTAATTGCATTTTGAAACATTTCTAGGTATTATAAATAATAAAGAATGCTAATGTAGATATAAAATCAATATTTTTTTGAAAATAGCCTGCTATGATCGAAACCAAAAATGCTTTTAATTGCATTTTAAAACATTTCTAGGTATTATAAATAATAAAGAATGCTAATGTAGATATAAAATCGATATTTTTTTGAAAATAGCCTGCTATGATCGAAACCAAAAATTCTTTAAATTGCGTTTTAAAACATATCTAGGTATTATAAATGATAAAGAATGCTAATGTAAATATAAAATCGATATTTTTTTGAAAATAGCCTGCTATGATCGAAACCAAAAATGCTTTTAATTGCATTTTAAAACATTTCTAGGTATTATAAATAATAAAGAATGCTAATGTAGATATAAAATCGATATTTTTTTGAAAATAGCCTGCTATGATCGAAACCAAAAATGCTTTTAATTGCATTTTAAAATAAATCTAGGAATAATAAATGATAAAGAATGCTAATAAAGATATAAAATCGATATTTTTTTGAAAAAAGCCTGCTATGATCGAAAACAAAAATGCTTTTAATTACACTTTAAAACATATCTAGGTATTATAAATGATAAAGAATGCTAATGTAAATATAAAATCGATATTTTTTTGAAAATAGCCTGCTATGTTGAAACCAAAAAAGCTTTAAATTGCATTTTTAAACATATCTAGGTATTATAAATGATAAAGAATGCTAATGTAAATATAAAATCGATATTTTTTTGAAAATAGCCTACCACGATCGAAACAAAAAATGCTTTAAATTGCGTTTTAAAACATATCTTGGTATTATAAATGATAAAGAATGCTAATGTAGATATGAAATCGATATTTTTTTTGAAAATAGCCTACCACGATCGAAACAAAAAATGCTTTAAATTGCGTTTTAAAACATATCTTGGTATTATAAATGATAAAGAATGCTAATATAGATATAAAATCTATATTTTTTTGAAAATAGCCTGCTACGATCGAAACAAAAAATTCTTTAAATTGCGTTTTAAAACATATCTTGGTATTATAAATGATAAAGAATGCTAATATAGATATAAAATCAATATTTTTTTGAAAATAACCTGCTACGATCGAAACAAAAAATTCTTTCAATTGCGTTTTAAAACATATCTTGGTATTATAAATGATAAAGAATGCTAATATAGATATAAAATCAATATTTTTTTGAAAATAGCCTGCTATGATCGAAACCAAAAATGCTTTAAATTGCATTTTAAAATAAATCTAGGTATAATAAATGATAAAGAATGCTAATGTAGATATGAAATCGATATTTTTTTTGAAAATAGCCTACCACGATCGAAACAAAAAATGCTTTAAATTGCGTTTTAAAACATATCTTGGATAAATGATAAAAAATGCTAATATAGATATAAAATCAATATTTTTTTGAAAATAGCCTGCTATGATCGAAACCAAAAATGCTTTAAATTGCATTTTAAAATAAATCTAGGTATAATAAATGATAAAGAATGCTAATGTAGATATGAAATCGATATTTTTTTTGAAAATAGCCTACCACGATCGAAACAAAAAATGCTTTAAATTGCGTTTTAAAACATATCTTGGTATTATAAATGATAAAGAATGCTAATATAGATATAAAATCAATAATTTTTTGAAAATAACCTGCTACGATCGAAACAAAAAATTCTTTAAATTTCGTTTTAAAACATATCTTGGTATTATAAATGATAAAGAATGCTAATGTAGATATGAAATCGATATTTTTTTGAAAATAGCCTACTATGATCGAAACCAAAAATGCTCTAAATTGCATTTTAAAATAAATCTAGGTATAATAAATGATAAAGAATGCTAATATAGATATAAAATCGATATTTTTTTTTGAAAATAGCCTACTATGATCAAAATTTAAATGCTTTAAATTGCATTTTAAAACATATATTGGTATAATAAATAATAAAGAATGCTAATGTTGATATAAAATCGATATTTTTTTGAAAATAGCCTACTATGATCGAAACCAAAAATGCTTTAAATTGTATTTTTAAACATATCTAGGTATTATAAATGATAAACAATGCTAATGTAGATATAAAATCGATATTTTTTTTTTTGAAAATAGCCTTCTATGATCGCCTGAACATACAACGATAGCGATCACTCGAAGTGATGATCATAGTGATGGTAATCACAAAGGTAAAGTAGCGTACTCAACATGCTTTAATTGATGGTCATCATGTGATGGCAGTTATAATGATCATCAGTGATGGCTTAACTTGGATGCAAGTTTTCATGCAAGTTAAGTCATCACTGATGACCATCATGATTACCATCACGTGATGGCAATCAGATGGGTAAAGTAGCGTACTCATTTATGTATTTTAGTGAGTATAGCATCACTCGTTTTAGTGATGGCACGAATGATTGCCATCATTGTATGTTCGGGAGATATGGATTATTTCCCATCTTAACTTCTCGTGCTTCTAAAGAGAATTGCCTTGATTTGTTTTTTTTTTTTATAAAATATATTTAAAAATTTTGACTTACTTTACTGTCATTAACGCAAATGACAGACCTTTAAATGCTTTTCTGATAAGTACTTAAATTCAAACTTACATAGAAATGTTCCTTGATGAAAACTGTCCCCTGATTTCAGACCCCTTTAAATTGATACATGCCTCCTCCATTTTACACGTCATTGAAGACGGATGCAAACAGCAAATATTATAAGTTTAATTTTACTAGAAGTAGACATAAATCAATTGCGGACGGTCTAATTAAAAATTATTTTTATAAATTTGGAATTCTTAATGAAAATAGATATTTTTAAACATATACCATGACATTGACGATTTCTTGAAGAAAAAACTTTTTTGACGGTCCACAGCTTATTTTGGACATAAGTCACTTGTGGACGGTCCAATCCAAAATATTTTTAAAGATTCTGAATCCTACTAAGATCCAGAAAGGTACGGTCTATTCCGAAACTTTGATAAGCCATAACTCCTGTTCGTTACTTCCGATTTGGAAAATTTTTGCATGACGATTTTCGACGAAATTAGGAGATGTGTTTTGATATATAATATGTCAGTTAAAGCTTGTTTTCAAGATTCTTACCAACTGAAGTTAGCCTGCAATATACCCAAAAGTTGAAGCTGCTATAGCTTGTCAAGGAAGACTTGACGAAATTCGACGATATTATTACGAAATTATGGTAAAGGTTTTAAATCATTTGGTTACAACACGCCGGCTAACTTCAGTCACACGTAAACCCTAGCTATAGAAATATAGCTGAATTAAGGCTTCAAGACACTTTACGGTTCAAATATTCTATACGTCCAGCTTCTTTGATAAGTTGCTGTTTTCATTATTGTTAATCCACAAACTCATAAATTCCTCTTTGTCTGCAGGAGATGTCGGATCATAAGCCATGTTACTTTCTTTTTGACGCTCCTTATTGGAGAAAGAATATTTGACTGTCAACGAGCTGTTGCACTTGCAATCTTATATAAGCTGAAATTCGGCCAATCTAGTCTGTTTTATCGTTTTTCTTAGACAGGAATTTTCCAAACTGGAGAAGTAGCTCAGATGTGTCGTGTTAAAAGACTTATTGTCAAAAATTTTAAATTTCTATTAATTTGTTCTGTTCTGGAAAGAAAATCCACAGCAGTTATTGTTTAAATCCATCAAGTTAGAATACTTTAAGATAATGTAAATTTTTTCGTTGAACATGTGATTATGTCCTAGTACTGCTAGTTTCTGAATTTGCAACGGATTATTTAATGTGAGCAATTTGTATTAAAATGGTCCACGATCTAGCATTATCCTGAAATGAAAAACATTTTGTCAAATAAAGTTTAAGGATTGATCACTGATAGACAAGTATAAAACATTCATAAGAAAAATGTTGACTTAATTAACGGTGCAAATATTCTATAGGTAAAAAAAAGATACACCCAGCTTCATTGATAAGTTGCTGTTTTCATAATGTCTCCTCATGTCAACTAGCATAAATCAACGAATACGATTTCACGCTTTATGGCACGCAGTTTATTCATCGTTGTTTTTCTTGGTGTTTCGATGTCTCAAATAACTATTTCTGGTGAAGAACATAATTGTGTTTGAGTTCCTAGGTGGATATGGTCGCTATCATTGTTGTGGTCATTTGAGTAGTTTTTCCAATTTTTCCTCAATTTCTTCCAGTGAATAAATATTTATTATTTCATCATATTCGGCTTCTTTTTTATCTTAGATTCCTCCCTCTACATGATTTTCTACTTTATCTTGTTGTTCAGGAGCAGAATCTTTTTAAGGCGGTCTAGTAGGATCTGCTTCTAGTTCTCATGATCATGATCTCCATGCTGACGTTCAATTTTCTACTTTTCTATTGTCTTCAGTTTTCAAATTCAAGATAGATCCTGTTGGAGTGGCTCATCTGATTCTTGGTCACTTGATGAGTCACTTAATCAGTCTTTTCAGCTTTGGTAATCAAACTCTTTGTTTTTTTACAGGATGATCGAGACCAAGATGAAAACAGACTCATTTTGACCAGATTAACAGTTTCAGGAATAAATTAAAAATGGATCTAATGATTCTTAAATTGAACGCCGCAAAATAATGTGAAGACTAAAATTGGAAAGTTTGATAATGATTGTCAGAAAAGACCAAGTGAGGTCGTGATATGCTCAATAAAGTAGAGGAGTTTAATCGCGATAAGACAAGTATTAAGAAAAAAACGTGGTACAAAAGACACTATTCAAAACCCAATTTTTGCTTACCTTCTGTGTTCTCATGTTGTGTTCTCATCGTGTTCTGTCGATGATTAGGTCCAGCAACAATGTTTGACCTTTCCACCACAATTCTCAGTAATTTAATTCTTATGATGACAACTTCCAAATGTATTGTAAATTTTTAAACTTGTACATTTCTTATGATAGACAATAAAGCAAACTTTAAACACTTATTCACAAGTAATTACTAAATTTGTTCGTTGAACATATGATGATGTCCTAGCTAGTGTCTGAGTTTAAGTTTTAAGTTTTAAGTTTTAAGTTTTAAGTTTGCAATGCTTTGTTCTTTTCATAATTGCCAGTCAACAACAAGTCAGCCATGTTGCAAATTTTATAACACAAATTTCAGTTGAAGAGGCTAACAATTCTTCTTTTTTGACGCTCCTTATTGGCGGAAGATCATTCGACTGTCAACGAACTGTTGCAATTGATTTTTGCGTATAAGCTGAGATTTAGCCAATTTAATAATTTAAACTTAAACTTAAAACTTAAACATTATTAACAATCTTTGGAGCATTGTTCGTGAGTTCTGAGAAGTTGAACTCGATTAATTTTACGACAAAAAGTTGTAAGTATCAAATGAGCATTCCCGAATGCAGTCACACAGCAAATGATTGAGTTTTTAGCATCTAGATTAATTCTTAAAATATGATGAGATTGACTTAAGGCGACTCAAATCTCTAGTATGCTTGGATTATCTAATTTAATTTCATTCAAAGCAGATATAGTAAAAATCTACTCTGTTTTAAGTTGGGATAATAATAGCTAATTTCCACCCGAATATAACATCCTTGCTGGAGTAAAGCTTAAATATTATCTACTCCTACCATTTTGTGCTGTAATTGGCTGAGAATTTCTGACTCTTTCGATGTAGCACAAAGCCATGGCAAGACATTCAACATTAACAATCTTTGGAGCATACTTGATGAGTTCTGAGAGGTTAAATTTGGGTTAAACTTTATTGATTTCGTGAAAAAAGTAAAGAATTCATACCATTTGTTGTATTTCTAGAGATTTCTCAGGCAATGGAGTTAGGTACAAACTTTCAATATGACACTATAATACAGCTGGTTCATCTCAGGTGTATGCATTCAGCCATTGTTGATAATCTTGATCTTTTACTTCAACACCACTTTTTTTCTCTTCAGTTGTTGAAATAATTTTAAATATATTAAAATGGTTCCTTTGTCAATTTGTTTTTCGTCAAATTTCCCAGCATGTTAAAGAATTAGAAGAAAATTATTTTTTTTTGAACTTCCAAATTGGAATCTGAAATCTTTAAAATCTGCATCATCATATTCAGTACAACAAATATGCTTTTAAAAAGGGTTAATAACTTTATGTAATAAGTGAAATAAGCATACTTAAAAACGAGCTTGTAAAATATTTTGAATCACTGAATTCATTATGATGTAAACTTACAAGAATCGTTAAAGGAATAGACAATCTAGAGCAATGATGAAATTAATTCATGACAATTTAACAAAAGACGATCGAACTTTCTTCAAATCTGCAGAAGCCATTTTTTAAGCACCCGAGAAAAAAAATTCCAAAAAAATTAATGGGGCAAATATGGTATGCAGAATCTCAGCTGGAATGATTCTTTTGTGGCAAGATATCCTGAAAATAAAGAATTAATCAAAAGGGTTGATGTCGTTTTGCCAAGCGTTGGAGAAATGAATAGCGGATCTTAAGGAGTTCTTGAACGATTCTTGTGCTGACTTTTGAACCGTTATGGTCTTCTTACAACCAAGATTCCTTGAGATATGAACTCTTAAGCATCTTTCACATTTATATTGTCTTTTAGCACTTCTGAATTGATTTTTCTGTCTTCAATATTTCTTGCTTAAACTTTCGGATATAACATAAGCTTAAACATAAAATCATTTTAATAAAATCAGGAATAAAGTTTTAACACTTTCAAATTGCTTGCATAAATTATCCAGCTCGCCATCTTCAAACACATAATGAAGACAACTTTCAAAGGCAAAATTCTGCAATCTATCAAAACAAGTTCGTTGGCTTTCTAGGAAATTTCTCAAGACATTTGATTCAATTTATTTTTTTAATTAAAATTTTTTCACAGTAGAAGTTTGTGAAGTTTTTGTTCCTGTGCATTTCCGATCTTAATTTATTTTTCTATCATTTCTAAATTACCTGCATTTTCTTCATAATAAAGCTGCAGTAGGAATTGATAAAAGTATTTGTGAAATAGTGGTATAAGCTACCAACTGACTAGAATAAAGTTTTTTTCGGTTCACTTTGAGTGCCGTAATGGGTCTGTAATAAGTGTTTATGAAAAAAATTAAAATTACGACTTTTTTTGTTTTAATTTTAACTTTTGTACTTACTTCAAATGTTTTTTAAGGATCGCCACCTGAAAACGAAATGTTACAACTGAATTGCATAAAATATTCTACTGTCTAAAAGAGGGCGCTTGTCATACGACCTATCAATTGTGGAGTTAGATTAAAAATTATTTTCTACGTTCAGGATAACATATCATATCAATTAGATTATTCTATTGTGGATTCAAATTAAAGATAAATATTAGATCAATTATAAAGCATAAATGGACTCTAATAAGAATTAATAAAATTTTTCGGTTAGACGTTTCCAAAATTAAACATTCTAGTACAGTATATTTTCTCTCAGTTGTGCAACCTTCGTTTTTGTATACGCTGCAAAAATAAGGAAAGATGTTTTTAAAAAATAATTATTATAAATGAAAATTAGGTGAAAATACAAAAAATGAGATATTTTTTGAAATGTCGCTTCAGAAAGTTTTATTTTGTGCTCGTTACAATCACTTTGATAAGCTGCTCCGTCATATTTTATTTATCAAAATTTACACTCGACAAAATAATAGAATTACAAGATAGCAATAGATATGCACGAAGAGGAAGATTCAGAATTCCCCAAATTGTTGGACATTATATGCCTATTGTTAGTGCAAATGTATCGAGTGACTTCTTAAACTCGAATAATTACAGTCCCATTCCAGGAGAAGGTGAAAAAGGTAAGAAGAAATTTTATTTTGATTCTACGATTTATTTAAAGCTAGATATTTCATTTCAGGCAATCCTGTTGTAGTACCATCAAAAGACCTTCTAATTATGCAACAGCTTTTCCAAATAAATCGTTTTAATTTACTTGCTAGTGATAGAGTATCTGTAAATCGTACGCTTCAAGATGTTAGAAATCATGTGTAAGAAACAATCAAAAACACTTTTTTATTGCATTTTTTTATTGACATTTAATGTTCAATCCACAGGTGTAAAACTAAAACTTATGAACAGGATCTCCCAAAAACGTCCATAATTATTGTATTCCATAACGAAGCATGGTCTGTGTTGCTAAGAACAATTTGGTCTGTGATTAATCGATCTCGTCCAGATTTAATCCAAGAAATTTTATTGATTGATGATGCGAGTACCAGATCATTTTTAATGCAGCAATTAGATGATTATGTTTCAAAACTTTCCGTACCTACAAAAGTATACCGATTAAAAGAAAGACTAGGTCTGGTAAGTGCTCGATTATTGGGAGCACGGAAAGCAACAGGCGAAGTGTTAACATTTCTTGACGCACATTGTGAATGCAATACAGGATGGTTGGAGCCACTACTTAAACGAGTTAAAGATAATCCAAACGTTGTAATATGTCCTGTTATTGACATCATATCCGATGATAATTTCAGTTATATTAAAAGTTTTGATTTTCATTGGGGCGCTTTCAATTGGGAACTTCATTTCCGATGGTTCATGCTTGGTGATGAAGAACTAAAGAAACGTCAGAAAGACGTGAGTGCACCGTTTAAAACTCCAGCATTTGCCGGTGGACTCTTTTCAATCAATCGAAATTATTTCTTTGAAATTGGAAGTTATGATCAAGAAATGAAGATTTGGGGTGGTGACAATATTGAAATGAGTTTGAGGATTTGGCAGTGTGGTGGACAAATTGAAATATCTCCATGCTCACATGTTGGACATTTGTTTCGGAAAAGTTCACCTTATACATTCCCAGGTGGTGTAAATGAAATTTTGAATAGAAATTTAGCACGTGTAGCAGATGTATGGATGGATCAATGGAAAGAATTTTATTACAAATTTAATCATAATTCAAATGCTATACGTTCAACATTAAATGTTACTGATAGAGTAGCATTACGCCAAAAATTTCAATGTAAATCATTCAACTGGTACCTCGAAAATATTTGGAAAGAAAATTTTTTCCCTTCCAAGAATCGCTTTTTTGGCAAAATACAAATGGCTAATATCAGCAATATTGGTCCAGAATATAGAAAATATTATGACATAATCCAAGAATTCAGTCGTGTAATTCACTTCCAAGAACAAAGTATTGATGAAAAATGGAACAAACTAATCAAGTATTTTAACAAACGCATTCCAGCAATTAACGATCTCTTCCAGTTCAACTCGAATGAATATTTATGTCTTCAAAAACCTAAAAGTAGTAATGTAGCAACTCCTTATGGCCAAACATATATAAAGAAATGTTTAAAAGTATATGATAGTCTAGATGAAATGTTTGTTATTACAGTTGATGGAAAAATTATGACTAATGAAAACCTATGCTTAGATTCATTTAAATTACAAACTTCCGATGATTCCAGTGAGAAAGATAAAGATGATGTCTACTATGCTAAGATGGTAACATGCTCGACAAAGTCCACACAGTATTTTGTTTACAACACAAATGTAAGTAATTACTGTGACCCATAAATATAGTCGATATCTTAATGATGCAATAATTAATGATATCTTTATGTTTTACATTTCCATTTAGACACTTCAATTACTGCAAGCTAATACGGGAATGTGTTTACAAGGAACCGACATTTCAGCTGAAAATGAAAGTTTTAAAATCATATTGGCAGATTGTAGTGAAAATAATAAATACCAGAAGTGGATTCTCTTTCCAGTCGAATGGCATTGATCGAAATTCATAGTGTGATGATTGGAATTTCACGTAATTATTTATCCAGTAACTCTTTTCCTACCTCTTGTACTTTTTGTCATGTTTTTATTTTGCGGTGTAAAGAATTGAAACAATAACTGTGATAAAATAATTGAGAGACAATTCTGTGGAATTTCGTTTGCTTGATTTTTTATAACTTCTCTTCTGTCTTGTAATCAACATATTTTGTAATAAACATAATATTATATATTGTAGATGAAAAAAAAAAAAATTGTGAAAGTTTTGCTACACTTTATTTTATTTTTTTGTTATAAATCAATCATGATTAGATTTTTACAGGTGTACGCTTCAATAGATATAGAAAGATAGATAGCTAAACCACTGGATAGAGTTGGTCATGGTCGCTTTGATTTCACTTTTTCTAAACTCACTGTTACTTTCCTGTAAGACAAAAATAAATGACGAACAAATGGGCCAAGAGCTTCATAAAGAAATAAAATTTGATCTTTATTTTCTTCACTAAGAATCTCAATTTTCTATAAAAATCTTCTACTATTATATTTTCATTCATCTATTATTTTTATTTTATTTTATTTTATATATTATCATTTCAAAAAAAAAAACATTAATGAGTTTAACTCAAACATTGTATGTCCATTTATTTATTTATTTATTTCATCTAATATTTATGTTGTAAAGATTAAATCTATTATCTCATCATCATTTTATTTAATGGTAACTAAACTTTTAAAAATTGGATACAATTTTGGGCACATGCTCTAAAAGTGATAATTACAGCTAATTGAAAAGGTTATAGAAACTGCGAGCCACCATGTATCATAATGTCTCAATCTACTTACAAACATTTATGATACAACAATTATTCCAATTTTCTTTATTACACCTAATTTTTGTAGAGACTAAAAATATCAAAATAGCATCACTAGATTGTTCCACTTTACAAATATATATTAACTAAAAGTATACGTTTATTGAATTTGTAGCTTTTTGTTTTTGTTTTAAAATTACATTGAAGAACATAAAAAGGCAGAAACGGTATGTGTCATTCACTTTGATTTTGACAGGCGTCATTTGCAAACGACTTATAAAGAATAAAAAATATTTTTATAGAATCAAAAATTTTAAAGATGTCCTTTGGTATCACGCGAAAAACTTTTGTCATAAAGTTTTTTCATTCGTCACCATGTGAAGTTTTATCTCAAAACTCTTTAAAATAATGTCCGGAGCATCAACTTTAATAAATTAATTGGATTGATAAACTTTTTTTTTAAATTTTTCGATTTTAAGACTTAAAAATGGAATTTAACAGATTCCTTTCCTCATAATGCTAAGGTTTTCTTAAATTAAATTTAATTTTATGCATTATGTTTCGAAATTTTGAAAATAAAATCAAATTTTGTGTTTTATCAATTTTTCTTGCCTCCTTTAATATCAAGGATTTAAGGCATACTTTTTAGTGTTATTGTATAACTCCAAGGATTGTGCATAGATCTCGGTACTTTTAGGATTCCCACGCATCAATCATCGTCCAAAAACTACAGCCATTAAAGCAAACGTCAAACCAATTGAAAAGCTAATTTACTAAAGTTGATGTGTGTAACATAATCTTTAATTAACTAATCGAATTTAAAAGGAATGTGAATTCATTCGTTTTCAGTAACAACTAACTTGTCTAATGAAGCTTTCTGTTTATTTCAACTTATGGCATTAAAAAGTAATTTTTCTCTTCAAAGATTTTTATGAAACAAAAGCAGAAAATTTGAGGAAAAATAGAAAAGATAATAAATTGATAAAAATAAGATAAAAAGGCTTCATTTCATTACGTAACATGAACAGAAAAAAATTATCTAAAGTATAATAAAGTTAAATTTAATTGAATGGTTAACAGATTTCATTTAAAATGTAATGTGATTCAATTTGATATTAATTCTAGGTATTAAAAGATACATTACAGCAATTGTACGTCATTAAGTTTCATTTCTTCGCTTTTTTATTTAATAAATTGCGATATCATCGCAATAGGAGATTTTTTCATGATTTTTTGCTTCATAGTTTGTTTTTTCCTTCTTCTTTACCACTTTTTTTTTTGCTTTAATAGCAGCACACACGACACAATGTCAATTGCTCGAAGATCGTTCAAAATGTGGTCAAGTTGTGACATTTGTGTTATTATTGTTGTCATCATTATTTGCCCTTTTATGTGACTCCGTGCTGTCATCAATGTCCATTAAGCTATATTTAATATCATTATTATTTTCGTTCAAGTCACTTGGCGAAGAACTTCTCGATGAAGGGTTTGTTTCTGTCTCGGTTTTCATATTTCTTAATTGAATTGGCAGCTGAGTAACTTTTCCCATGAATTGTCGTATTTCTTCAAAATATGAATCTTCCGGGATACCACGTGAGTTTCTACGGAACTGTTTGAGTCGTTCATCTATACCTAATCCGAGGCCGATTGCATCAGCTTCGTGTTTCTTAAGATGACGATCGAGATTCGTTTGTTGTCCGAAACATCGTTCGCATAAAGCACACTTGAATGGTCGCTCTTTATTGTGTATATTGCGGACGTGACGTTGTAAATTGCTTGATATACTGAAGGATCTTTCACAGTACTTACAACTATAAGGCTGCTCGCCTGTATGTGTGCGTAGATGTCGCGTAAGATTCGCCGATCGTGGAAATACTTTTCCACAAAATTTACAACTATATCGGTCCTTGTTCTTATTTGAAATTCCTGAATTTGATGTTGATAAATTATGGTTAACTTGTTTCATACTATTATTGTTATGGTGGTTAGATCTTGAACTATGTGACGCAGACATTTGATTATTTTGATTCAAGATTTGAGGAACATTAATTGATATGTCTTGGTCCTTTAATCTCGCAAGTTGCTGCTCAAATGAGTGAGGGGGTGGCGGTAAAAGTGGAAATGCAGGATTGTAAGGTAGTCGAAGTCGAGCAGCTTTTGCCATTGCCTCAAGCATCAGCGGATGCAGTGATGGTGGTGGAAAGAGAGGTGTATTTGATAACCTATGTGCTTGTTGTGCACTCAGTCCATTTAAGTTGAGATGATGATTACTGAGCAGACGTTTTGCATTTTGTTGAAAATGTTTATTATTTAAATCTATTGGGCTTGGTGACTTCTCATGAATGCTTTCGCTTTTCACATAATTATTGTTTGCAATAATTGAATTACTATTCTCATCCTCATGCTCATGATCATTTTCATTATCGTTTTCATTTTCAATTTCCTTACTCAATAATGATGACTTCTTATGTTCAACACGTAAATCTAACGGTTGATCAGTTTGCTCGTGCCGGTGTGAGCTGGGAGAAGGCGAATCGTTAGATGATGCTGACGATGATGGTCGATTAATGGCTGTAATAAGATCAAAGGGTAATTGAAGAGCGGGTAAAGGTAATCCATTTGGATAAATTGCTCCTTGTTTTGGACTGGGAAGCATTTTTCTAGGCGAATGGTCTTTTTCTCGCATCTCTTTTAATAATCAGATGGTTGTTGATGAGTTGGTTACTATTCACTAGCAGTAGTACGAAGCAGATTCATAAAAGTTTATGTTATAGAATTGAGTAGGTTTGCCAAGTAATACAAGACATTTAAAACCTGTAATTGAAAGAAAAAGGAATGTGTTATTAACAATGTTGCATATATTTTAAGTGTTTTTTTTTTGAATTTATAGGTACAAGTTTAAGTGACCAATTTAGAAAATCAATTAATAACTTCGAGGCACACTTGAGAAGTCATATAAGATACAAAATAACAGCAATTTTTTTTTATTAAAACATGGCTTCCTATTCACATAATTTTGTTTGCATGCTGTTTCTATTCCTTACTTTACTAGTAAATTTTGATAAATTATAATAATCCGATTTCACATGTAATAATATGGTGTTTTCTAAAGTGATCCTTTTAAGATGAGATTTTGTATTTATGCATTTAAACAGATATATCTATTTTACCCAAACACCATTAAACATCTCTTAGCAATGAATTGATCTTTTATGTTATTTTCTTCTTTTCGCATTTTGTAATAATAATAAAAACCACATATTTTTGATATGAATCTCATAAATAATAAAAAATATAATACTTATAATATAATAATAATACTAGTTCATATAAATAATAATAATCATTATATATAGCGTCTATGGTCGTGTTTTGTTACTCATTTTTTTCATAATAATGTTTCATTGAGGAATATTACAGTATGATGGCTTGCAAACAATAAGTACTTGACTTGTATATATTTTGACCATCATTTTCTTTTTTTCTCCATTTCAAAGGCGAACGAAGAAAAAAAATCTATGAAATATATTAGAGCAATAAACAAATTCCGAATACTCGTGGATCTGAAAATTATGATCATCATCATACACGTTGTTGAGGGCACACACAATTTAATTCAATTCAATTTATATTTTTCTCTGTTTGTTGTCAGTATCTATGGCACGAATGTCTGTATGTTTACCACACATTAGTTCCCCACACAACAAAAGCATTCATAGATGCAACAACTAAATCACATTACACTTCCATACATTACAGAGTACAATAATATATATGGACATAGCTGTCAGTCATGCAACGAGATGTATAGTGTGCACATTCTCTGTTTATCTTCTGAAAAAAATGTAAGTAACTCTCTCTTTTCTGATAGTTTTTTTTTATAAAAAAAACTTATCGATTACATATAATGAATGATGATAGAAATGGAATCAATATGCATAATATAAAGACTGCACACATCATACAAAATAGTACTTATAATCATCATAAAAAATTATCGGTGGGATAAATTACAAGATATTTCTTCTTAAATAAGGAAAAGTAAGTACATCGACTATTGTAAAAAAAAAAATAAAATAGAAATAATAATAACAATAATAATAATAATATTAACGAACGGACGATGAATTTTAAAGAAACCGACATGATGATTTTATATTCTGCATGAAAATGGCAACAAGAAAACATTTGTGATGATATTTTTAACAGAGATTAAACTGAGCATATTCGAATAGAAATGTTTAAGCACATGCAAAAATTTCAAGCAGTCATTTTTGTCTACAATTTCAAGTACAAAATAGATGCATGACTCTAAAACGTTTTTCTTAAAAGCAATGAAGTAAAATATATGCATGCAGCTAGACTTTGTGATTGTTATTGCACTTTAATTCTAGAAAGAAATGTTAAAAGAGCCAAATGCATTATATTTGCATATAAATAAACTTGACACTTCATAACAGCAATTAAACTCCTCCACTAAGCGTGCATCTCTTCATAGTTTTATTTTCTACACAATAAATTGTGTTGCATCTTGAATAATACAGCAAGAGATATAGAGAAGAGAATAAAAAATCATTTAACCACATAAAACGGCAACAACAATATATTTTAAAGGAAGTAAGAAGAGATGTGAAAGAAAAAAAGAACAACAAATATAGAAAGAAAAATAATAATTTATGTTCAAGTGCTCTTATTAATTGGCATGTATACGAAGCTCATAAGGAGGTTTTGTACTTATTGCAAATTAAAATATGACAAATGATGACTTATATTACTAATTCGTAATGCTAAAAACGAAGCTGTTGAAAAGACGAATGAGTTCAAGCCGTTAATGTGTAGAATCTAGTAGCTTAGCAAATTTCCTAGAGGATTAAAAAATTGCTCTTTTTTATGGCTAACAAACAAAGATAAGAACATGTAAAAGTTATTTCAATCATCAATGCTTCGTTATACCTAATCAAACGTCTTCCTGTGAAAAGTTTTTAAAAGCATTCCATCTTTTATTTGCTCTTCATTAATAATATATGCATGACTATAGATTAATAAATGGGAACGGTTTTTGATTTTATGATGATTCTGTTCTTTTTTTTCTCCTGGGGATCGAGTGCTGAAATTGATTGATAACTGGTTGATTGATTATGCAATCGGGCTATTCTCATCAAGTTTAAAAAATTGTATCATTTTTGATAAAAAATTAATCATTCTGCAAAATTTCTCCCTTCGGCTCAACTGCTTTTTCTTGAAAAATATTGAACCATCTACATTTAATCCAATCATCTTCAATATTTCCGAAAACGACATGAAAATTACTTCTTTATACTCCTACCTTATAATTTAAATTCAAAATGACTTGAAGAAGCGAGCATTTCAGTCATTATTAAGTTCGGTATCATAAATCGCTTTAGGTGACATTGAGTACCAGTTTTATAGTCGTGTCGTGATTTCTTAGGTATGATAAATCACAAACCGTAGCATTAGTTTTGCTTAATTCAATTTCCACGAATTTCAATTACCTCGAAATTCTTACAATCTAAGATTGAATCTACATCACAGCTAATAAAATTTGATGATAGTTTTTTGGAATCGAGAACTTTTTTAAAAAAAATTAAAGAGTTTTGTGCGAGGCTTAAACGTGAATAAGCTACATTATTGAATGTAATATGAATAAAGTGAAGTCTTAACACTCAATGAAGGAGTTGAGACACTGATCTCTTTTGGGAATCGAACACACGTTCTCATAGGATAAAGGTACATCATCGGTCATCAAACCCAAAACATAAAAAGACAGTTTTGCCTATAAATATGACTTAATATCATTTCTGCAATAAAGGAACAATAAATTACAGCCCATAATCAGAGTCGTAAAACCTATAAAAGATGCATAACTTAAGCAAAGATCCCCTCGAACCAAATGCAAGAATTTAAATCAAATCTTTCCAATAAGCATCCATTGTTATATAGTATATCATCAAATATGACAATATTCAATCATATTCAACATTCATGATTGTTGAAAAATGCATAAAATTCAACACGTAATTCCAAAACAAAACCATTATGTTTGCCTGTGGGAAGTTAATTGAATTAATGTAGCATGAATTCCATACATAGTTTCAATATATGATGATGAAGAAAATTTGTATAGAAAGAGATCTTCCTAAATTGCATCCACGGCAAGCGATGAAAATTTAAATTAAAATGAGTGAATTATATTTAAATCAAGTTCAAAAAAATAAATAAGAGCAAATTCAATAGAACGTTTTTTTTATAGAGATTGTATGCTACAATAAATTTATTGGTCTTACGAAAGATGAGAATAGAGCGAGAGCGCATAGCAGAAAAAGCTCCATAAAAAGCAAAGTCATGAAAAAGTTATGTAGCAAAATGATGATTCCGATGGCACGTGGGAGTTGTTTTTATTGCTCTCTTTGCTTTCTTTCCTCTTTTGCTGATCTTTCAGGCTTCTTATATTTATTTTATTCTTCTCTTTTGTAAAATTGCTTTATTATTTCTCCAGTCTGTTTCTTCGACTATTTCTGCGGTTTTTTATGTTCTTTCTTTTATGTTTCACGTAGTACTTTTCTCCTGTCTCTCCTGGACATCGTGTGTTATATTAGTGACCATCTAATGACCGAATTTATTTTTCATCTTTATTAAAACTTTAAAAAATTTCTCTACAAAAATGTCAGAGTAGCTGTTTAAAATGAGGTAGGACTGACAAAATATGCCAATCAATTTACATTTATTAACAACAAGTCACTTATGTCTTGGAGCTAGGAGATTTCAAATTTTTCTTTGTAAGCAATAACGATACAACAAAATCAACTCTGGTGAAAAAATTCGACTTAACATAAAATGTCCTAATGCTGTATATATAAAAGCGTACAAAGGTTAAAAACTCTGCATCAGCGATGATTTATTTCTTTTTTGCATGGTCATCACACCATACATTAAAATGAAATGTAAAAATATAGTTCAATGTACAAAGCGCCTAATCACTATATAACTATTGATCTCTGATGTTCTCATTTGACTTGTACCTATTTTTTTTTATTTCTTTAACAGCATGAATACACTCTTCGTAGAAATCATGTTCATGATAGTGAAGAGCAAAAAATTATCTACAATTTCATCATGAAGAAGGTTGTTAGAGAATATAGACATATAAATGAAGAAAGTTTTTTAATTAGTTTTTGTTGTAGTTAAAGTTAATGCTATTTGTTACACTCTACCTTAGCTCTATAGAAGAAGAAAAAAAAAACATAACAAAACTAAACTAATGCTGAAAGGGAAGGAGCATCTTTTGAGCGAGCGGTAGTGCAATTCAATTTAGTGGTAGAAGTATCTATAATTACAACTTACTGACTTCCAGTTAAAATGAGTTATTGTCTATTCTTTTTTGTTGTTGCAATAACAGAACTACTTAACTCGACTATACAGGCTTGTAAATAAAACGAAGTGAAAAAAAAGTCAGCAAAGTTCAACCAATTTAACAGTTTTACTTAACTGACACTTTAAAACCAAAAGACATAACGAGAAAATTAAAAGATGTATGCAAGTAGTTGAAGCAATGCCTGTAAAGTAGTTTGTTTGCTGTCAAAATTAATTATGTATTAAATTTTCAGACTTTTTAGCGGAGTTTCTTAAGGACGAATGAATCATTGCGATCTTAATTTATGTGTCTGACTGTCATTACAATAAAATCAACACCCGCTAATTCCCATTGAATGTTGTAGGCATTTAAAATAGATGGTTTGTATTCATTGCTACGCGTGTCTTATTACTGATGCATCTCACGTCTTTAAAGCTAATTC